TGTTCCTGAGAGCCTTGGGGATGGTGGTGGAGGTGAAGCCAATGTCAGCCAGGGACAGGTTGGAGAGGAGGAAGTACATGGGTGTGTGCAGGTGGGAGTCTGAGATGACAGCCAGGATGATGAGCAGGTTCCCTGTGACTGTGACCAGGTACATGGACAGAAGCAGGCCAAGGAGGAGGGACTGCAGGTCAGGGTCATCTGTGAATCCCAGGAGGACGAAGTTTCCAGCTCCCGTTTGGTTTCCTCTTTCCATGGTTATTGTTGTTTCCTGAGGAGGGAGAGAAGGAACTCCAAATTCACTCTAGCCAGAAGCTAGGCTGGCTGAGGGAGGAGGACTGCAAATTGAAAGCCAGACTCAGCAACTTATTGAGGTCCTGTCTTAAAATAAAAAATAGAAAATTGCCTGTGCATGTATTCAGTGGTTAAGTGTTTCTAGGTTCAAACACTGGTAACTCCGCACCAAAAAAAGAAATAATTCGAAATAGAGATTCCCCAGGATGCCCCAATGTCTTTTATTGAAACCTTGGGAACTCAAGAAATAATTTATTTTGTTTTATCACTGGGTCTCTTTTCTGACAAGTTTCAATTACCACTTTTATCCCTCAAACAATGAAAGGAACAAAACCTGCATTTATGTCAGTGGTTATCATATGGTGTTCCCTGGAGTACCACCTGGGCATTACCTGGAATCTTGTTGAAATGTGCATTCTGATGCACACCTCACCTGACCACCTGAACCTCCTGCTGTAGGTGTGAAGCTGCTCTCTGTGTCTTGAGAAGCCCTGTCAGGATTCGGAGGCTCACTCCTGCTTGGGAACCAGGGCTCTAGACCTTGCCTGCATCCCCCCCAATCCTCGTTCCCCAGGTGCTCTGCTGCGTTCTGCCTCATGCTCATGGGAATGAGCATCTTCTCATTCCAGGCAGATTGCTCCATCACATCACGGGAAGGCTCTCTGCTACTGTGCTGCTTCTCTGTGATTTCCTCATGTCCTATCCTGTGGACATGTGTGGTCCTTCTGCAAGAAATCTCAACAGCCTCTGTGATTATTATTCTTGTTTGTATTTCATTTTAATTACCACTTTATATAGATTAAAGAATCATAGAATTTTAAGTACAGAAATCCTAGGTTTTCTAAATGTAGCTTGAATCTTAAGCACCTTTTATTTTCATCACATCAAATATTCCATGAAGGGGAAATGGCTCTTCATATCTTGCCCATTCTGGATGTTAGATTTTCTAATTTTCTCTATGAGGAAGGCAGTTAAGATTAATTTTAAGTTTATATTATCCTGTCTTATGATAATCTGCAAATGACTTCTGACAGTTTTTTAAAATTGAGATATTTTTTTTCTGTTGCATTCATATAATTGATTGACTAAAACTGACTAATTATCGGGCTGCCAGATTCCTCTTTTAAAAAATTGTCTATTTTCATCATATCAAGTAGAGAAAGTCACCTAGAGTGGCTTCTATTGGAATTTTATTTCTAATTCCAGTTTATTCTTGTAGTTGAACTAAAAAATGAGAAAGATCCTGGAATTGAAAAACAGATTCCAGAACCAATTCTATAGCTTCCACAACTAGAAAAAAGTTATGCATGGAATGAAAGGGAAAAACAGACCAAGAGGAGAAAGGACCACACACTGAGGTGCAGAAATAAAATTCCATGCATGTGAGTAAAGTCAAAGTGACCCTATCTAATATTATGTTATTCTCCAATGCACTAATAAAAATGTCAAAAGGCAAATTGAAATACCTAGAATTAGGAATGAGGAAAATGAACACAGAGGTAAGGATATATTCAACCTTACTAGATTGTATTTCTTACAACTCTAATTAAAAATATGTAGCTGTCCCAGAGTAGATCTTATTTCTGGGAATTGTGTACAGTTGGTGGTGGAAAGCAAATCAGTAACCAAGGAATGAATCCAATAAATTACAAGACTTACCACCAAAAATGTTCCGGCAGGATCTGAGGCAGGAGCAGAAGCAGAATTCTCCTTAAGAAGAAACCGAAGTCTCTCATCACTAATTATTGGTCAATGGCCTGGGAGGGAAAAAAAAACAAGAGAGAGAAATGAATTACAGTAGATGGGGTAGAGAGAGAAGATGGGAGGGGAGGGGAGGGGGGATAGTAGAGGATAGGAAAGGTAGCAGAATACAACAGTCACTAGTATGGCARTATGTAAAAATGTGGATGTGTAACCGATGTGATTCTGCAATCTGTATACGGGGTAAAAATGGGAGTTCATAACCCACTTGAATCAAATCTATGAAATATGGTATGCCAAGAGCTTTGTAAGGTTTTGAACAACTAATAAAAAAAAGAAAAGAAAATCACACCAGAGACCCGAGTATGGAAAAGGCAAGATGTCTACTAGGGAATGATGTTGGCCCAATTCTATTGTTATATCATGTGCATGTACGAATATGTACCAACAAATCCCACCTATGTTCAACCATAACACAGCAGTGAGAAATAGAGAAAAGGTAAGAAGTCCTTTTTGTTCAGGATGGACTGGCTGCAGATGACAGACTGAGAGCTATAAACCTATTGTAACTGGGTGTGATTTTACCAAGGCTGTTCACACAAAGGCAATGTGTAAAAAGCAGAGGTCAGGCTGGGGATGTGGCTCAAGCGGTAGTGTGCTCGCCTGGCATGCGCGGGGCAGTGGGTTCGATCCTCAGCACCACATAAAGATAAAATAAAGATGTGGGGTCCACCAAAAACTAAAAATAAATATTAAAACAAATATCCTCTCTCTACCACTGAGTCACAGCCCAGGCCTGATAGGTGCTCTCGCTCGCTCTCTCTCTCTCTCTCTCTCTCTCTCTCTCTCTCTCTCTCTCTCTCAAAAAAAAAGCAGAGGCCACTCCAGGTGGCTCAGGGCAGATAGCACATTGAGATGTTTGGCAAATATTGCTTTTCTCTAGTTATGAATTTCCATTTTCATCTCTAAAAGAGAAGTCTCAGTATTTTCTGTAACTTTTTTACTCATCTGACTTATGAAAAAATAAAATAGCATAAGCAGCAAAAATTTGCCTTTCTAAATGCAGGTGAATTTATTACAGAATAGATCTCCAACATTCCAAATATTAATAACATTTAGAACTCTTAGAATGGGGACTAGAATCTTACAAACACACAGCAAATAAGGGATTTAATTTGCATAGTTATTTGAGGACCTGCCTGTGTTCTGTACTTGTGGTATATTTTATATATCTTGATTCATTATATCATCATGGCTGTTTTTATATAATGTAAGTGTTTTAATAATGCAATGTTAATAAAGTACAGGTGTAGTCTCTCACTACCTGATAGGGAGTATTATCATTTCCTCTCACCTGATTTACTTTAACTTCACCCCAACATGATTCCTATGTAGTAAACACTATTATGATCCTTATTTTATAAATATGGAAACGGAGTGGAAAACCTTTCAATAACTTGATGTCAGAAGATGTTTGCCTGGAATTATGTTTAACTACACAAGATACAAACAGAGGTACCTTGAGTAAATGAAGGAGTAGTTTTATAAATTAAAAAAAGAAGCTTCTCTGATACAGGAGAAGAAAGTCCCCTCTAGTCGCTTCAGAAAGATGGTGGAGATGGCTGTGAAGGAAACGCTTGAGAGAAGGTCAGTTCCATCAGCAAGTGAGAGACGCTCAGATCTGGGTTCCAGAAAAGAGAGTAAGATGGGAAGAAACGGAGAGGAAGAGAAGATGAGAGAGACACAGGAGCTCACTGCTCAGACGGCTCTAAGTGAGGGGCCCTCCTCACTGCAGTGTCCCCACTTGGGTCACCAAGGCTTGTCCTGAGAGGCTGTGCTGCCTCCTACCTGCTCCCACAACAGCAGCCCTGGGGTGGTGAGCTCCTCTTTCTTTCTTCCAACCCTGGGTGATAAGGGTCAATTCAGCTCTGATGAAGGGCAGGAGGTAGCCTCAGGCATGGGTGCTCTTCAAGGTCCAGGTGAAGTCATTCATTCCTGGCAGAGCTGAGCTGTGGGTGAGAGGATCACGGGGCATATTTACCATTTCCAGGGCCTGGGAGGTTGAATTCTCATGAATACTCATTAAGTTAATTGTTGCAGTGTTGTCTATTTCCTGAGCAATTGAGTTTCCATGAATGAGGATCCAACACTAGAAAGGTAATTGTGCATGATGCTAGTTTTGCATCCCTGGGACCATCTTGTTTGCCAGCTATGTCTATCCTTCCCCTGGGGCTGTTGGCTTGTGATGTCATTTTGTCCCTGGACTTGATCTCTACTGATGATTGTCCTTCCCCATGAGTATTTCCTCAAATGTGAGATGGAGCTCTTTGGTCTCTCCCAGGCAGGAGCAGGCAGTATCCAAGCCCATGTGAGTCCTGCACCTCAAGTAGGAGCTGTGTACAGGACACATCCAACTCCACACACAGCTCTTACAGTGACCTTGCCCTTCCAATGACCTTGCAAATCTTCTATGCTCACCATCACAAGTTCAGTGCAGATGAAGTTCCAGGCATCTGGTTAGGGAAGTGCATTGAGAGGTGGGTTGGCCGTACAGGACAATGTTTCCAAACAATCTGGATACATGGTCCTCAGTTCTCCAGGGCAGAGAGTATGGACCATCTTTAACAATTCACAAGGCACTGATCTTTACACCACATATCAAGTACTTAAAAAAATCCAGGAAATGATAACAGTAGGACACAGAGCATTCTTTTTGGGTGACTCTGTTTAGTGTGAAGCAGTATTTAACAGGTGAGAGCTTCTCATCAGAAGGGAAGACCCACCACGGGGCTCCTGATGCCCATGTGTTCCAGGGTTGCCACACACCTGGTCCATGCTGTGTTCCTGGATCCACTTCCCATCCTCCTCCTCTCAGGATGAAGCCATCCCTTGCTCACATTTGGTACAAAGACACCAGTCTCTCAAAATCGTCCTATAGGAAACAGCCTGTTGAAACCTAATGTTGGATTCAAGGAAAGAAAATCCTGGGAGAGCTCTCAAAGTGCAATGTGCAGTGACCCCTGTTTGGGAGCAATGTGGCCGAGTATTTTCATCGTCCATGTTTCAAGAATGCTGGCTCTAGGGAGAACTCATATGTGCTTATTGTAGCAATGTCCTGAGTGTTGTGACACATAGTTCCCCGTCCCCCTTCTGATGTCATAGATCATAGGGCCAAGTCTGTGGTTCCAACTTAGCAGCTGTGAAAGGACTTATGGTCATTGTTGTATTCGAATGTTCACATGATTTGGGCAAAATAATTAGATTGTGAATCCGAGT